AACATTTCGAGCCGAATTTCTTCATTATGTTCCAACCATCGAATGAATGGTCGATGTGCATATTTTTCCGCTCCGGGCGGGATTTGGTTCAACATTGCGTAAAGTGAGCAAAATCGTTGGCTTTGAAAATATCCAAGCCTACTTCCCTCAGCTGCAACATTTTAATCTCCAGCTCTTTTGGTGTATCAAAATCGAACAACATAGAATGTTCGCTCTAGGCTGCAACCGAATTGGATTCACTTTATGCAAATACTCACATCTGACTCGATTCGCATCCAACTGCAAAGGGAATTATAAGCTTTTGATATCCATTGGCGTTTTTTCTTCTCTCTTCCCCCAATTTGGTTAATTGAACACTCTTTTTTTCCTACGAGAGCAAATCAATGCTTTGCAGTAACCAAACGTATGCAAAACGCTCAACAACACTTATGCCAGTAAATCAAGTGAACTTATCCGATTTAGCTGTTACACTAATCGACGAATGAACCATCCGGTTTTTCGGAAAGCTCCACCAAATGAAACAAATAAACGAAGAAAAAAATGCAGTTTCATGGATGGGAAAAAAATTTCTGGTTTCATAGTTCATTTGGCCAAGTCGTCAGTACGAACAATGTCGGAGAGAAAATGATTGATTCGCCCGACTGTAGAAAACTAATTTCCGATCTTCTTTTTCCCTTCTCCGGTGCGTTATGGTTGGCATAAGGCCAAGCGTAAAGTCGTGTTTATCCTGTTATTATCGGTTTTTCTCTGTAATGAACTTCTTGGAATTAATATCATTAAAAAATCATCTAGTGCTTGTTCTCAAATGAATTTTTCCATTTTTTTTGTGCATTTACTTGAAAGAACCAGTAACTTTGAAATTACTCTGCACTTTCGATGCAGAGACTGCATAATGTAGCTCTATTTCTTCTCATGATTTTCGATTTATTCCTCTTTTCGCTCAATAAAAAGGTTTCCCACAATATTTTGCTGTATTTCATTAGTTTATAAACTTAAATGTAATTTATTCATCGTTTATTTGCATCAAAAATAGAAACTTATCGATTCTCTTTGTAAAACTGATGAAGGGAGTAGGTCATTGATAATAATTCCTTTGAATGAAAAGACGTTGAAGAGAAAGAGATCACATCTTTGAGATTCATTTTACTTGCTAAGCATTTTTCTATCCCGATGGAATGTTGCAACGTCGATGACCCAATTATTTTCTGCTACATTGCATCATAAACGAGATATATTTTGTTTGGACCAAAAATAAAGAAAAGTTGTTCATGAATGTGGTAAATTTGAAAAGACTTTTCGTTGAATCCATTCCGAAAGATTAGCCGGAAATTAAGATTGAATCCAATTTAATTGCAACGAAATTGTTATGAAAATAAATTAAGTTACTTATTTGATGGCAATTCAAATGCTCCAGTCACACTTGAATTCCATGAAATAAAGTTTATCGAATTTCAAGGGAAAAATCCAAACTTGATAATTAAACTGAAATCCAATTTCAACGGTAACATGACACATTTTAATTATGATTGTGTGTTATCTGCAAAGTTTTGAATGTCGAGCGATTCATCCAATATTTACGGTATTTTATTACGATGTTGCAATTCAACGACAAAATGCCCTAGATAATCTATATAATTTTCTGTCAACAAATTTTCCTTTTAGTGGCTGAATTTAAAACAAAACCATCAGATAACTAAACAGATTCAGGTCATAAGCGCTGTGAATTGAAGACGTTACAGATATTTTTACGGCAATGATGAGTTTTAAAACCATTTGCTCTGGTTTGATTTACGCGCTTTCTTTCGCATTTCTGAGTAGAGTGAATTGTGGTAGTGTCGATGAGTCTATTTATCGTACAGTGGAAACGAGAAATGGTGCAGTGCGTGGAATTTTGAAGAGAACGGCTTTCCATCAAAAACCATATTTTCAATTTATGGGAATTCCATTCGTGAAGCCGCCAATTGGAGAGCTGCGATTCAAGGTGTTTATCCAAGAAATCATAAAGTTTGAACTGCAAACCATATTCAGTATACACTATATTTATTATGCATAATAGGTGCATTTTATGCATTTTCAAGGACAAAAATATTCATAACTCGACAATTGTGCAAAAATAATTTTATAGGTACCGGCACCAATTGATTCCTGGCAACCGCAAGTGATTGATGCATTTGAATATAAAACAGCTTGCAGTCAAATCAAATTTTCAAAGAGCGTCAATATATCGAATGAGGATTGCTTACATTTGAACATGTTTATTCCTGTCGTGAATACAACGTCCAAACTAGCGGTGATGGTGTATATATTTGGTGGAGCTTTTGTAACAGGTAGCGATGAGCCGTATGGGCCGGATTTTTTGATGGAACGCGAAATTATTCTCGTTCGAATTGCTTATCGACTTGCTATATTCGGGTTCTTGTCGTTGGGCACGCCAGAATATTCCGGCAACATGGGATTGAAAGACCAGCAATTGGCCATGAAATGGGTATATGAAAATATACAATATTTTGGAGGAGACAACACACGGATTACACTCTCTGGCCATAGGTACTGTTGTTCGGTTGACGTGAGCGGCTATCTGCTATTAAAAAATGAACAATAAGAGAAATTGCTGCAACAATTAAACCATTTGAACCAATAACAGGTTCCATATCTGCCACACATCATCTCTTAAATGATGACTCCAGAAGGTATTTCCATCGTCTTTTGGCCATGAGTGGAACCGCAAATATGCACGATTTACACGTGAAAGGTGACCATCGATGTGTGATGAAATTGTTTGCCAAAAATTACAATCAATCAGGGAATAATCTGGATGAATTGATTGAATTGTTGAAGAGCGTTCCAACCACAGATATTAATCAGTTTTTCGTTGAGATTGCAGCCCGTGAGCAAAACGTTTATAAATCTATATTCGATCCAATAATTGAATGTGCGTACTTCACGAGGTTTATTTATACGAATTTTTGGCTTTTAATTGATTTCGTGGCACAATTTGTGGCACATGTATTTTCAATCTATGCGAATATTTATAGACAAAAATGCCGTGCAACCTTTCCTTACCGAGAATCTGATAACAAAATTTTATAAAATATGTTGCCTAAATATAACTTCATATTACACTATTGTTGATAGGTTACATCAAATTTGACATAAGAAATAATTATTCAAAGTTTTTTCCATGAGTGAATGGGTTATTGTATAAAAATGAAAATCTAGGAATATCTTCGGTTTGCGGACGAAGGCTATGAAAGCGAAGAGACGTTAAATGCGTATTTGAATGATTTTTATGTTGTGCTACCAATTCGAAGATATGACGGAACGATATCAAAAAAAGTAGTTATTGTTACCTACTGATTTCATGTGAACTAAAAATGATAACCTGATTTTTTTGTAGCCATATCTCAGTGGATTGATGAATGGATTGTGTGATTTTTATTTTACCAACCAAACTACCAATTTTGAGCGGGCAAATCAACGGCTTATCATGGATTCAAATCTGGAATTAGACTATTTAATGGAAACATGGATGACGCAACATGTATCTATTTCTCAGAAGAATACATTTTATCACGTGTAAGTGCGGCTGTGGTGTGAATTTTCATTTTGATTCGGTTTCTCACTATTATGTATGCGTAGATTTGCAGTAGACTCAACGTTGAGAAACTTCGAAAAGCCGGTCGAATTGCCTGGAGTTGGGCACGGAGATGAATTGTGCTATTTATTTTGGTAAATCAATTGATGCATTAGAAGGGAAAAACGTTAGGCAGAATTCACTGAAGCTTTATATATATACATGATTTCAATGGTTTGTTCGTGTTATCTCTCAGTTGTAACGATCGAATTAAAACCTATGAACGATTGTGGGCAACCAAAGATACCGATGAAACGAGTGCAATGAATTTGAGAACTATCGATTACTTCACCGCATTGATATCGAATTTCGTTAAATATGGGTAAGATCCGTCCATTTCTGGGCGTCATTTAAGCTAGCAATCGATTCAAGTCATTAAACTAACAATTTTCAATACCTCTCCATTACTCGTAGAAAACCAGCTGTTGATGGAAGTCCACTCAAAGGTTTTAAACCAGTGCAATCGAACGAAGTTAACTTTTTGAATATAACAAACGATGGTTTATTTCTGGGGACTTCTTCAAATGACCGGAACAAATTGGCAAATTTATAGCCGAAGCTAAACGATTGGTGGAAAAACATGGAGATGCACCGAAAAAACGCACATTCAACGCATTTGTGAAACGTTAAACAGATCTGGAGGAAGCAATTTGAACAAACAATTATTGTCAGAATTGCATTGATTTTTGCATAAGTCGATTCAAGCATTCATGGTACACGTAAACTTTTCAATTACAATTACAAATAGAAAGATTTTGTTTAACAAACTTCTCAACAAAATCCATCGCACAGATAGCAGTTGTGCAGCCGTGCTGTTTGCACATCTGACTTTTTCGCATACACATCGTCGTTCATCGTGTTTCATACAAACGAAATCAGCAAATGCGATATATGTATGCGCCGAACGCTCAAAGCCGAGTTCCATATGAAGCATGGCTACAGTGATGGAATGAATTACTAGAGAGCGTTCGGCACATAAGAAATACGATGAACGGACAATGTGTATGCGAAAAAGTCCGATGTGCAAACAGCACGGCTGCACAACTGCTTTCTGTGCGACGGATTTTGTTGAGTTATTTTCATATTCATTATTCTTTTACTTGGTAAAACTGTTCAGAGACGTTTTATCTGAATAAAAACGGGAGGAGGTGACATCAATTTGTAGAGTTTATGACTGATAAACCTGTTTATCGTACCACCCAAGTTATCTTATCATCCACGTTAAGAAAGTTCTTGCAACACTTTTTTTTGGCAATCACTTTCATTACTTACTTTATTTTTATTTTTATTGATTTATAATGGTGTTGAAAACAGGAAAAATCCCAATAACATTCTTCACCTAAAATTTACATTCACTTTGAAACAATGCCGGTTTATCAGTATTCTGTTTATATTTGAATTTGATTTCTCGAAGAAGAAAAAACACGATAAAATTATTTCGTATAATCTTCATGCATCATAAAGATAAATCAAAAATGTTGTACTGTACTCGAGCAATGCGTCACTGCGTCATCTCAGCCAGCTGAATTATCTCGTTCAATTATCCTATGAGATACTGAGAGCGATATCGCAATCACTGGTACTGTAAACAATGACTTCAAATTCTTTCATTTTAATCTCATTTGTATGAATGCATTTCGAATGTCAGATCGCATCGTTAATTCACGTAGTTCGTTTCAATTGAGTTCCGTAGACAGAATGACATATAAGTGGTTTCTACTTAGTTTAACCGTTTGTTCCCTTGTCTCATTGACCACAGCCAATAGTGAAAATGTAGATGATATAGTTTATAAGACGGTTGAAACTGAATATGGTGCAGTGCGTGGTCTCATGAACGAGACCATTTTGCATAAGAAATCATACTTTGCCTTCAGGGGAATTCCGTTTGCAAAGCCGCCGATCGGAGAGTTGCGATTCAAGGCACCTGAACCAGCCAAACAATGGAGACCACAAACAATTGATGTTTTTAAATACGGAAAAGCATGCAGTCAACTACCATACTCAGATTTACATGTGGATTCCAGTGAAGATTGTTTGTTTGTTAATGTTTTTGTTCCAGGTGAATAAAAAATTGAGGCGATAAAAATATTTTATCACTCATGCTATAAGATATAAATAATTTTATAAAACCTTATCATATACAACACGTCTGAAATTGATGTTTACAGTGGTGGCGCCATCGAGAAAATTGCCAGTGATGATCTATATTTTTGGTGGTGCATTTAATGGTTACAGTGGCGATGATCTTTTTCTCGGCCCCGATTTCCTAATTGAACATGACATAATCCTCGTGACATTTAACCATCGCGTTGGTATGTTCGGATTTTTGTCATTGGGCACACCAGAATACTCCGGGAATATGGGAATGAAAGATCAGCAATTGGCCATCAAATGGGTTTATGATAATATCGAACAGTTTGGTGGAGACAAAACAAAAATTACACTTTCTGGACATAGCTCAGGTAATTATCAGGAGAAAAAAAAACATTGCAATGATAACAATAAGAATACTTTAGAGTTGTTTGCTTGCTGAAACAACTTCTGAATCTCTTTGTCTCTATTTTTACATATCATCATTTACGTACCGGCTGGTCATGAAATTTAGTTGAAAACCATTTGAATTTTAGGTGCACATTCCGCTACTCATCACATGCTTAACGAAGAATCAACGCAATATTTTCAGCAGGTTTTAGTAATGAGCGGAACTGCAAACGCGTACAAAATGTATGTGCATGGCGATCATCTGTGTTTGATGAAAATCTTTGCGAAAAAGTATGAAAAATGGATCGGAGACAGTTTAGATGAAGTGATTGAGCTGCTGAAGAATGTGCCCGAACAAGAAATTCTTGACTTTGCTGCGGAAGTTCAGAATCAACCGCTTGATAAATTGGAATTCGAAATAATATCAACACCAAATGCTATTTGGTTCCCTACTGTCGAAGGTGTGTATGATTCTTTATGAAAATTGCGATATTCAAGAGTTTGAATTTCCAGCTGAAAATGCCATTCGACCATTTTTACAAGAGAATCCCGAAGAAAAACTTGAAAATGCAGCCAGTCTCAACATAACCGCATATTATACTTTTACTTCTCGTGTAGGTCATCCACAATATTTATTCAGACACCTTTCAGGTCGGATTTCAATCAGAATATGTTTGAAAATAACACATTACTTAATTTCTGCAGGAAATGGCGACAGGCGTCCCATCCAATTTTGCCGATCCTGAGGTAATGGATGCATTTCTTAAAGATTTCCGTATGCAAATCCCAATTCATGGATACGATTCGACAATCGCTAAAAAAGTAAATATCTGTTGAAATGATAAGCAATCTTGATGAACAAAACAGATTGCAGTTCAAATAGAATGGGTAAAACAATCGCTTGGATTATTTATAGCCTTATCTCGACGGTTTGATGAAAGAGTTTTACGATTTCTTCTATGCAAACGCAACAACAAATTTCGAACGTGCAGATCAACGTCTAATTGTAGACTCGGACTTTGTATTTTCTTATTGGACAGAAAAATGGGTTAGAAAGCAACTGAGTGTTTCTGATAAAAATATTTTTTGGCATGAGTAAGTTTAAGGATAAAAAAACTTTCTTTTCGCACACCATATGCAAATATAGAAAATTTCCCATCATAACAAGATACTTTTGATTATAAGATATTCAGTGAAATCAACATTGAATGATCCCACGCCCATTCTACTGCCTGGAGCTGGTCACGCAGATGAACTTTGCTACTTTTACCGGTAAAACATCGAAGAATCTTTTTTTCGAATCGACGAGACAAATTCAAAATTCAACATTTTTTAATCGATAGGTGTCGTCATCAGTATAATCATTATAAGAAAATGTTGGAGACAAAAGATACTGATGAAATGAGTGCACTCAATTACAGAGTTATCAGTGACTTGACAACATTACTGACTAATTTTGTAAAACATGGGTTAGTATAGAAAGAGAAACAACTGCTTTGAAAATTGGTTTAAAGAAATTTCTGAGTTGAAAGATGAATGTTTATTTGTAGACAACCGGCAGTTGATGGAAACCCCGTAGAACATTTCAAACCGATAGAACCAAATAACTTCCATTTGCTAAACATAACAAATGACGGATTGTTCATGACAAAAGCAACAAATGATCGGAAAATTGAGTTTTATGACTATTTTAGAGCCGAAGTGAAGCGATTAGTTGAAGGTCATGGGGACATACCAAAACGCACAGTGATCCAACGAGTTTGTGATAATTTCATCAGTAAAGAAGAATTCTGTCGCTTAAATGGAGATTGTGAAAAATAAATAAGATGCTAACAAATGTATTCCGTATTTCGCCTGTGTTTAAAAATAAAATAGTTTTTGCATTTATGTTGACTTCGAATCAATAAAATCAATAATAAATGACAAATCGGTTTCGTGATAAAAATAAACAAACAATTTGCACAGTCGCTATTACCGTATAGCGCAAAATAGTTTTATTGAAAAATTCGATATTTTAAGCTTATCTAACAGATGTGGTGTGCGTTTAACTGTAGTCGCTGAATTACATACACACAAAAATGATATGGCTCCCTTGAGTTTGTACATATATGATACTTGATACGAAAACAAATAAACAATCTAATGAATGAATTCGCACACATTAAGATGACCTATCACAATTCTACTTGCAAATGTTCGACGTATTTCGCGACGTTACAGCAACTTTTCACAGTTCCCAGTTATCATGTACATTAATGGCACCGAAACACCAACTGGTGCTAGCAAGTGTACTACAAGCACTGTATATAAATATGTCGTTTTTCACTTCAACATTGCAAAAAAGAGTAACTTTCACAAAAAAAAATCTCATTTCAAGGAGTTTCGAACATTTTAATTTGTCTTTTATGTCAATCAGATCTTTTTTTTTGTTAGAAATACATTTTTTAACGTTGTCATACTTATTCCTATTTTCTGTCATACGTTTCCTCATTTCTGTCATATGATATCAATTTATCCCAAATTTTCATCTGAAAAAACAATGTTTGAGGTTGCGCGCCGGCGCAACAACTCCTTGCATCTTGTCACTCTGGCTTGCTTCTGTTTAAGTGTAAGACCATGCCCACGCTTTTTTTTTAATGGAGTTATTCCCAAATCATCTTTCAGAACTCGTTGCATTGTTCTTCGACTGACATTGTGTTCCTGGGCCAACTTTCTGGCACTTCTGTGGCGATTTCTTCGAATTTTGTGTCTCACGTTTTTAATGAGATTTTTGGTACCAACTTGACGACCGGATTTTTTTTGTATTTCAACTCATTGAATCGTTTGATAGTACGCTGAATGAATTTCATGCAAATATCGATATTTTGGAGCTTCCGAAAAATATCTATTTTTCTGAAGCCGCGCTTGTGCAAATCCAAAACCAAAGGACGTTTTGCTTCCATCGTAATTGCAGCACAAATAAACACTGAACACAAATGCGTCGTAGTACAAGTGTTAGAGTGAACACCAATAAACATAACGGTACAATGCCGGGTGAATCGCAATACACTGTGTATAAGAACATACGATGTGAAAAAAGAGGACAGTTATTCTGCGCCACCCTGTATATGTACATGATGAGCCTTCATCACGAATTGAACAAAAAAGTTCCCTTAAAGTAAATTCATATCATCACTGTGCACTCCAGCATCACATACACTAAATTCCTTTGGTACACACGTATAGCTGTTGTTTTTTCATTCCATCTGAACAAACACAAAAGTGGTGTGTTGGGCTAAAGCCGTTTTCGAAAATGATTATTCGTTTATTGTTCGACGTTTCGCTCTTATTAGGAGCATCATCAGGCTGGAGAGCAAAAATGTACACAAAAAACAATGAGTAAGTGTTAAAACAATTGGCAACAGCCGAAAATAACCAAATTACGAACCAGTTACATCTGAATTTAAAATGTTTTCGAACGTATTCCATTTTTTTCTATCAATTTCCACATATTGTATCAGCTACACGTGTCCATCAAAGGTATTTTTTTATTGAGCTCCATTTAGTGTCTGAATATGATTACACTATGCAGCAACAAGAAACAACTACAGAGAAGAGAACTTATTTCCAATATTTTTTGGACCCACTTTATCCAAATCTGGCGTTAGTTTGTGCTGGCACGTCTAGTTTCCAAGATACGTTCATTGCGGTTTCCATATCAGATTTGGATTAAGTGGGCCAAAAAACCTTGGAAATGAGTCTCCTCTTTTTGGGGGAAATTTTTCTTTGCAATTTGTTGCTAACAAGTAGACCTCAATTCGTAAATTCCATAACTGAAAAATACCATAATTTAAAAAAAATTATTAAATCCATAACTGAATTATACGTTGCAGTGCACGTATCAGCTATTGGTAGATGAATGGTATAAAAGAGGCGCCACCGCATAGGGAAGACCAAACGAATTCAAAGTATCTCTTCTCGAATTATCATTGTGCAACAGATTAAAACTCTGTTTCGTTGGCAAATTAAAATGAATCTACTACACGGTTTGTTTTTGGTGCTATTTATCGTTGAATTTTCGGTAAGTTTTTTTCTATTCCTTTATCATTTTCATTTTTATCCAACAAAATGCGATGTTTCTGTAGAATTGAAAGTGAACACGAAATTTCTTTTTCTAGGAACTTCAAGGAAAACGTAAGACAAATTTTGTTTTCGTACACACTTTTTATGATTCCAAGAGATTTTTCATTTAAAAATTTCAACTCTTTTTTCTAATGAACAGATGGCTTTTTCTCGCAAGCTCTTCTCAAGGGCGAAGTAATTGAAAACATGTCTCGGGCAAAGTTTGTAGCTGGAATCCATGCCCCTGCAAGTAAGTCAGCTTTAGAATAATTTTTATTATTTTTTTCGTGTGAATTTTCTATTCAAACATTCTAACAATTTTGTGTGTGTTCATTTTTGCTTGTACTGGGACGAAACGATTTCATTACAGGTTATTTGTATGAATTCAAAGACAATTCAACTGATGCTGATAGAGAAATGCTGTCTACATGTACCGCATTTATTCTGTCAAAAACGGAAATTATCACGAATGCCCATTGTGTGGCTGGCTTTCCATATGTTTATGTGGTAGCTGGTACGAAAGTTGTATCAGACAAAAATCAAAAAATCGAAATCAAAGTCGAAAAAGAGAACATTGCATGGCACCCTCATTATAGTCGTTTAATTGTTGGTGCATTTGATATTGCCAAAATTACACTGAAAACGCCGTTAGAATTCAGCGATACCGTTGGTAGTATCGAACTCGTGGATAAGGATTACAAATTGAATGACCCATCTGAAGTGGTCACTGCCTATGGATATGGCGTGTTGAACAACATCGGACCAATGATATTGAGGCGTTGCGATGCGAACTATATATCTGATGTAGATCGTGTCAACACATTTAACTCACGTCAAACATTGTACTTTACCACTGGCGAAGCTAGGAACGATGGCGAAATTCTTACACCTGGCGATTCGGGTGGACCAGTCGTTTCAAAAACAAACGGCAAAATCGTGGGCATAGCTGTGGGTATAAATGGAACAACAGGTGGCCGCGGAATGTTCCTCCCAATTACGTCATTCCTTGGTTTTATCCATGATCCAAAGGTATCTAATCTCAATGCCCCAATTTGCATTTCAATAACGCGAATAAAATGTATTTTGTGCTTTTATTTCAGAGCGTGAAACCACTTCCAACTTCGCTTACACCCAACGAAGCTAAATTTATAGCCGATATAACGGTACCGGCAAGTAAGTGTGCATTCGAAATTTGAATTAAATCAATTTATTATCTGGTTTTTAAAGTCACTTTTAATCTTCATATTTTTTTTTTCGACGGCGAAAGAGGAGATTTTTCATGATTCATAAACCAATACTCAGTCTGAGATAACTTTCTATTACAGAATTTCTTACCCTCGCCAAGGAAGCATATGCCAACACCGATGAAGATTTTCGAATACAAGCTAATGCAATCATTTTGTCGAAAACCGAGATTTTGACCTGTGCACATAATGTGCACGGCGCCCCATATGTCTATGTAATAGTAAATAAACTATCAAGCAATCCGACAGAAATCAAAGTCACCAAAGACCAAATAAAAATTCATGAGAAATACTCATTGTCTGGATTCGCATTTGACGTTGCCAAGATTACACTTAAACAACGGTTGGAGTTCAATGACAACGTCGGCAGCATCGATTTGGTAGACAAAGATTACAAATTGAATGACCCGTCTGAAATAGTCTCTGTCTATGGTGATATGACATTGGATGGAACGGCGAGAACGAGACGTTTTGATACAAAGTATTTAGATGGCGCCATTTGCAAACCGAAATTGAGCGCTGCATTGGATGCAAACCATTTGATGTGTTACACTTTGGATGAAAGCATGGGAACTCCCTTTACGTTTGGAGGACCAATGGTTTCGAAAAAGAATAACAAACTCGTGGGCATGACCATAATTCGTTTTCCTGATGAACCGGTTATTTTTCAACCGATTGCACCGTTGCTTGATTGGATCCGGAAGCCAAGGGTTGCACGTAATCAAAGAAGAAGAATATAGGTTTGAAAAAAGGGGTTTCAGGCGCCTGAAAAAGTTGAATACCGTCTCTTTTTTTGCCCCTGTCATTTGATGTTCAACAAAAGAACCGAATAAATTTGAACATTTGAGAAAAATGCATTTGATTTTTCATAGCCTGGCGCTGCTCATGCTGAAGAACTCTGTTATCTATTTCGGTAAAATTAGCAGACGATTGCTTCGAAGAAAAAATTTTGTTTGAAAAAACAATCAGAGATCTCATCTTGTATACGGCCATATCTCGAGATATTGGTAGCTTCTTTTTTTATTATATTTACTATATTTGCCATGTAAACGTCATCCAGTGTTTTAGTTTCTAATATTCGCGCGCTCACATTTTCTTGTTTATGTTTTCTCCGTTGTTGTGTCTTTGTTTATGCATTCGTTCGGTAGCTGCTATTGAAAAATATCCACAGCTATTGCCTAGAAATAGGAACTACTAATATCTCGAGAATTATACCGTATACAAAATGAGATCTCTGGAAATATTCGTTCAATTTTCTATACTCTTTATATAAAAACCTGTTGAAGCTTCAATACCGACTGTTGAAGGAAATCCAGTCAAAGGATTTAAGCCCGTTCAGGTTAACGAAATG